ACGTATTGATTCGATTGAAGTAAACAAATAGGAAGGCGATAATACCCAAGTGTACCTTAGACTGGTCGAGGGATTCACCCAACGACGTTACGTCCAGCACTTATATTATTATTATAGACTGGTCGAGGGATTCACCCAACGACTTTACGTCCAGCACTTGATTCATTATTATAGACTGGTCGAGGGATCCACCCAACGACTTTACGTCTAGCACTTGATTTATTATTATAGACTGGTCGAGAGATTCACCCAACGACTTTATGTCCAGCACTTGATTTATTATTATAGACTGGTCGAGGGATTCACCCAACGACTTTTCGTCCAACACTTGGATTCACTAAAAAAAATGTTTTACGCAAGTCACCACTCGAAAGGTTAGTGTGGTAAAGTACACATTGCTCACTTCGATGGGTCAAAACCACTTCACAGTTATAATATAGCAAGTCAATAAAGCACTTTAATCACGTAGCCATGGAACAAGCAAGGACACTCACCAAGAGTGAAGTTCAGATGTCAAATTGGGAATCGAATTCCGCTTCCTCGCAATATCCTAGAATATCAAATATTGAAACTATAAGCTTTTATTCAGTCTTTAGGCTCAAACACATTGAGGTTTATCTAATATATTGCTAGTTTACTTTCCCATAGTAATTTAAAAAATCTACTTAGATTGAAACTTGACACAAATAGTAGAAATGTTTCTTATAATTTTCCTTGAGGTACTTTTCCTTATAAAAGGGTAACTAGTATAAATTTTCTTGAAATAAGTCGACAAACCTCTTAATATCAATGTTAGAAAGTTACTTTGAACATTTCTTTAAAGCTATGGTTTCTGCAAAAATTATTACTAAAACTATTTTACCCTAAAATAAGGTTTCTTGCCGAGCAAGTTTCCCATGCTTTTCCCCAGAATTATTAAAACTCGTATTTTGGAACTTTTCCTATAGCTAACTAGCCAAGAGCAATACTTAATGAAAGAAAAAGAGTTAATATAAAACGTAGGGTTTTTCAAAGGCTATAGAATTTATTTACTATAGCTATCATGGCTAGTTTGAGCTAAAGGAAAATATTGGTTGGAAAGTTTTAGGCAAAACACTAGATATTGAGTTTTATAATTTAATACTAGCTGGAAAAAATATTTTTGATTAATTTGATCACAGCTACTCGAGTTCGCAAGGTCGATACAACTTCCACAGCTCCGATTCCAAATCGAAATCACTTTATGGCTCAAATTTGTCGATTGAACAAAATCATTTTTCAAATGGCAAATCACTAATCACATCTCAATTAATCAAATGAGCATAAGGCCTTCAACCTTCAAACAATTCCAGCAATTTATTTTCATCCCTTTAACACTCGTATAAAATTATTTAGATGACCAAGGGCTTCGTCAATCATTAGCCCTTAGCTCCCAACAAGTGATTCTTATAGCAACCAGGTAAACATTTCAAGTGTTTCAATTTACTAACGGTATTTCAGGTCAAAGACCAAATTTACAACCACTTCGTACTAAAGTAAATGTTCCACAGCCAAGAAATTCCAACAATTAAAGTCCATCACTCTTTAATATTTATAAAATCATTCAAATGGCCAAGGGCTTCATCAATCATTAGCCCTTGACAACATCCATAACTTCCAACCACAATTCAATCAAGAATTTAAACCACAAGTAAGCTAAAATCTCAATCCAAATCCAAATTTAGTTTCACCAAGAAACGGAACATTCATGCAAAACAGTCTACTTTGAAAATTCACAGACAGCAGTACACATGGAGGAAAAATACGAAATTTCTACAGGACAAAGGCCTATGATTTTAGTTTCAAATGCCATTGACGGCGCCTTAAACGGATTTTCCTACACCATGATATAAACGTTTTATTGAAACTGGTCAGGGACATTCGAAAATCTAAAGTTTCATTTTTCACTTGTGAAAAACTCCTTTTTCTCTTTTGCTACCAAAATGTTTGTATTCAAACCATCCATACCTTCTTATAGGTCTCCAAAACAACATATTCCGACATTTCCATCCCTCATGTTTTAAGGAAAAAATTTCAAAAACCAAGCAAATTTTTCAACTCAACTTTCGGCTATCACATAAGAAATTCCATCTTCCAATATATCAAGTATTTCATTGCTAAACAACTTACACCATTTACAACTTACAACTCTGTTGTATTTCTAAACCATTATATTCCAAGGGAAAAATAAAATAAATTCCAGAAACCAATTACACTTCCAAAACAACTAAAATTTCTGGTTCAACCTTGCGGCTTCCAAAGTTTTTCCAGCAACCAATCTACTTTAGTTCAAATCTTCCCTCGGCTTAATCATGGTTTTAGGTACTCAATTTCAGCGTTTAAACACTTAGCTAACTATTAAAATTTTCTACTTCAAAACCTGATTCATACAGCAACTAAAATTATCAAGAAAATTCCAGAAATCTGTCCAACTAGCCACGGTTAAACATGCATGGAGGAACTCTCTGTTTTCATTTTATTTTCTGGGTTAAAACATGCTTTTAAACTCTCAATTCCCTCATGCAAATTCTTAGCTAGAAAATAAACATTTCTAGTTCAGAAATAGAGTTCAAACAACAACCATTGGCATCAAAATTTTCTAAAATTTTTTTCCTGCTTGGCTCGGATGACATGCTTGGGCAGATTGCCCCTTTTGATTTTTATTTTTCTGGTTTATCTAACTAATTAGTTGCATGCAGAGCCTAATTAACTGGTTATTAACCTTCTAACCATGGTTATAAGTTTAAACAACAACATTAAACCAATTTAGGCTGCAACAGATCAAGCTAAACTCTCGGCAGCCCCAACACTTGCACATAACAGAAATTCTGTTCTTAAAATTCCCATTCGAGTGCCTAACATCAACATGCATGTCCCTAGCTGGCTTAACCTTATTGTTATTGAGTAGTTAAACACTTAATCAAACTCAAATTGTCGTAGGAAATCAGAAATAATGCTACATTTCTAAACCAGCTACTCGGCAGAATTGTTTAGCCCCAAGACAGAATTTTTGTATGCTATACCCACATCATCCGAATGCACAAATCCACATGCATGGTATTAATCTTCAAGTTTTCATTCGGCTAAGTACACTTAGATGCTCAGATTGTCCCAGAAAATTGAAAATAAAACTGCATTATCGGCTCAACTTCTCGGCAGAAACATCAACATCCAAAACAGAAATTTTCTAATGGCTTAATCTCATTCATCCGACTGTACCATAGTACATGCATGCCCCTAGATAGCTCAAACTATCTCTGATTAGTCATAAAATGAATCCAGAAATTACCTCACAGCAAGCTAAGCTCACGCAAGAAAATCTGGAAAATTTCTGCTCCCTCTCGGCTCTCACGCACACTGGTTGGTCCTGGTTCGATTTGCAGCTGGAAATGGTGTTGTGGTGAAGATGGTTGCAGCTAGGAAATGTTGGTCTGAAGTGAACGAAAATGGTGATGATCAGCAGCTCCTTCGACTTCCACTTGCTCTCCCTGGTTTCACTCCAACTCACGGCCAGAACCAAAAACATTCAATCCTGCGGTTTCTTTTCTTCCACTCGGCTGCAGAGTGCAGCTCGGCCTCTCTCTCGCTCTCTCGGTTTGTCGACACTAGCAAGGCAGAGTGAAATGCAGTTGTGGTTTGAGATGTGAAGTGGAAAGGAAATGAAGAGGGTGCCGTGGTTTTGAGAGGTGTTTGTGGTTAGAATTGGTTGAGTGTGGAGATGGTTTACGTATGGAATTGGAGAGAATGGGATTGGACAATTTGGGCGGTGATGGAAATGTTGTCAAAAGGGGTGTTTGGCCGTGCATGGTGATGGTTGTGGTGTAGTGGGGATTTTGTGGATTGTGAAGGGCATTTTGGTCCTTTCACTTTGCTCCCTAACCTCAACTAAAATCTCAATTCTAACTTAATTCCAACAATTATCCCCAAGTGTGATTTTAAGGCTTAATTATACACTAGTATACTTAAACCGTTTTTATCGAATATTTATCGATTACAATTTAATATTAAGGTTCCTAGTAAATCCTAACATTCTTACTTTATTAATTAAACTATTAAAATCAAGTTTGACCTTAATATAACTTTAACATTCTTGATATTCATTAGCTCAATCCTTATTAACACTTAAGGTTAGCAACTAATTGGAGTTAGTCATTGGAATTTAAATAATTTGTTTTAAGATAGTAAGGTTATCGACTCAAGTGTCATTAATTAAGCATAAAGGAATTTATTTTTAAAGAGTAAACTTACGATAACTCAAGAGTTATTACTTTAGTATAGCAATACCGAATAATTCAATATTGGGCACAATCATATTATTTGTTACATAAAAATTATCTTTACACTTTATTTCAAAACAATTAATTACAATACTAGAATTCAAAGAAATTAATTGTTAAATCAATGAAATAATTTACCATCGAAATATAAGTTTAATGTAACAAAACTAAGAAGTTTAATAGTCTCGCACAATTCTTTTATTTTGCACATAACGTTTATTTATACGTACTTATTTAAAAACAATTAGATTTAGTGCTAAAATTTATTAAAGAATTAAAATGCAAATGAAATATGCACTGATATTTATATGTATATTTTCAGGGTTCTCACACCCACGCCCGGTATTTGCTCCAAAAATTTCATGAACTAAATTATACTATAAAAATAATTTTAAAACCCTATTTGCTCATAAAAATTATCTAGAAAATTTTCCTAAAAAAGAAAATGCGTAAGAAGCGTGTAAATAAATAAAATAAAGCCTAGAAAATAAGAAATTGTAGGGGTTCTCACAATAAAGACATTCATTCTCAGCAAATAATAAAAGCATCCATTCATAGAAGAAAAAAAAACATCAGTTAACAGAATAACATCAGTTTTACAGACCAAAAGAGGATTATGATCCTCAATACATAGCATAGCAAAAGTTTTTCAATGCAAAAGATGAACTATTGTCCTAATGATGAAATGCAAAGTCCTAGTAGTGCTTAGATGGTGATTTTCAATGATCCAGGCCTTCTCCTGGTTAGACGAAACTGCTCAGGATCCACTTGGTCTTCATCCTCAGTTTCAGCATCATCATCTTCAGTCGTCTCCATAGTTACAGGAACCTTGCCTTTATCTTTGGGTTGGGAGCTGAAAGCATGTGCCTCTGGAGTGGTTTCAGTACCAGGAGTATGCTCTGTGGGCTGGGGTCTTGGCTCTTTTTGATGAGCACTTTCATTGAATTCAGGGATTGGAGGCACGAGGAGATTCCTTTTTTCAATGAAGATGGACTGCTGGGCAGGAGACATGGTCATCATGAGACCATCTTCAATGAGCAGAACATGTTGTTTGAGGTCCTCAAGCAAGGAGATGACCTCAGAATTGGAAGAGAATGACTTGCTAGCTGATTTTCTAGGGTGGGTGGTGAATGGAGAGACATACATGGACTGATCACGAGAAGTTCTAGGAGTGACAGGGGTTTCGTGAATATTTTTTCTCCTAGTTTCTGCCACAGTCTCCTTATAACACCAATAGCCCTCAAAAAATTTCAGATTCTTTCTTTCAAAATACGCTTGTGAGAAAACTGTTGAGGCACTGTCTTTGGATGATTTTCCAGTAAAAGGAATTTTAAAATGGGCAAAGATAGGAGTCAGAAATTGTCCATAAGAGAGCTTCCTACGACTATCAGTGCTAATTTTGAGCAGAAATTTGGACATCACAAACCCAAAGTCAATTTTGACTTTTTCAACAAAACAGTAAAAGAGATAAAGCTCCATTTTGTTCGCATCAGTTCTGTGGGCATCAGTGGGCACCAACAGATTTGAAATGATGGTAAAAATTATCAAGTTCTGAGGACTAAGATCTTCTAATCTTGCCTCAACAGGAGTGTTGAAATGTGATCGAAAATAGGTCATGAGTTTAGCAACGTGAAAATGATGATAAGCAGAGGGATATTCTTCATATGAAAAGAAATTTGCAACTTTTCCTTTAAAACCAGATTCAATACTTGTTTTCAGAATGGAATTCACAATGTCAGGAGTTAACGTGATGTCTACAGAGTTGACCCTAGAGATGAGTTTAGTGTGTGAGTTACCCTTTTTGAGATTTGTAAAGAATTGATAAAGCATATCAAGGTAAAAAGTATTAGGGATGGACAGAAGATGAATCCATTTTTGGAACTCAAAAAGTTTAATGATAGGTTCGAGATCAAGCTTATGAAATTCGGGAGGAGAAATGGTTCTTTGAGTGATGAAACCCTTTTGTGAGACCAACTCAAATCTGTCTCTGGCCTCATCATCAATGAATTTTGGCAGAGGAGAAGGTTCCTTAGCAGGCTGAGTCACTGGTTCCTTTCCAGACCGTTTCCTTTTTGCAGTTTGCTTGGCAGATAACTCAGTATTCTGAACCTCAGGCCTTGTCCGTGGAGATTTTTTGGTAGATGGCTTAGGGGTGTGCTGAACCTCAGCATTTTTCTCTGCATTTGGTTGAGGAGTGCTTCCTTTTTGGGTAGACCTTTTTCTTTTCCCAGGTGATTTCGAGATAGTCACTTCAGCATGGGTGGGTTCCTCCATTTCTTCTACATTCCTACCACCTAGATTTTCTTCAGAGTGACGCTCTTCCATCTGCTCATCAGATGGCTCAACAGTTGGAGCATCGCGCTTCCTTTGAGCAGCTTACTTCACCTTTCCACCTCTGTTTGCAGTTTTCTTTTTGGATGCTTTGGTAAAGGGTTTCACAATTTCAATATCCTCATCCCTAAATCTAAAAGAGCGTCCGACCCCAGTAGAACCACCTCTAATCCTAACCATGATGTAATGTAGTTGGATGTTGATGTAGCGAGTGGTGAAAAGTGTATAAGATAGATGAAGAGTGCAATATGAGTTAATAGTGATGCACGAACCAACCACAAGAAGTCAGATTCGAACACTTAGGGTTTCGGATATAAATTTGGGAAATATGAAGCAGTTAGAAATTGGAAGAGGTTATTATGTTCAGTGTGACGACCCCACTTCTCCCAATGGCGAACCCAAGGGTATCGGCGGGCCGCCTGCCTAGCTCGTGCCAGGACTCAAAACCTAAAGTAATAAAACTAGATAAATCGAAAGCACTATATACAAAAATATACAAACCCCAAAAGTGTTCTAATTACATTCTTCAAAAGTGTGACAACCCCACTTCTCCCAAGGGCGAACCCAAGGGTATCGGCGGGCCGCCTGCCTAACTCGCGCCAGGACTCAAAACTTAAAACAATCAAAGCCAGAAAATTCAAAAGAGTACTATATACAACCCCAAAAGAGTTATAATTACATTCTCCAAAAGTATCGAGTCAAACCACCAAACAAAAACAAACATCCTAACTGTTCAACTATTACAAGCCAATCTTACTATACTAGTATACGAGCCAAAAGTCCCCGCGTCGGCCCCTGCTAAGGAAAACAAAAGGAATGGGGTAAGCTATATGCTTAGTAAGTAAACAGCGGGCGAAAGCGTAAATTCATGTAGCAACAATTACACAATAAGAGTAAAGCAAAAGCAGAAAAGAACAACATCATATAATAAGGATACGGGTGGCTCCAAAGCCAATTCATGTGCCATGCATGATCTCCTGCGACACTCCGTCGACCACAAATAATAGTCCGTAGAACTTCACTTGTACACCCACCGACACCTTATCACCCTCACTGGCAGTCACCTCACAAACTTGCCGGGCGAACGAAATCACAAACTTGAGCTTGAGTCACAAGCTCGGGTCACAAACTTGGTCACCTTCTCGGTGAACCGGATTCACAAAATTGGTTCATAACATGAACCTACAAACTTGGTGACCTCAGACTAAGTTGGACTGCCTTCGACCAAGCCCTAACCGGCTCTAATAGTCCAACCAGGTCAAGAGTTCGCCCCAAACTCACAAACTTCACAAAATTATTCAAAATCACAAACTTTGCAAACTTCACAAACTTTATTCGAAAGTCGCCCCGAGCCACAAGCTCAAGGGTTTTGGTTCCAAAAGGTTCATATACATATGCCAAGTACAATTATACATTCAAATTAGGGTTTAGGTCGAGTGCGATAAAGTACACCCTCGCCTAAGTGCCCTTTTCACATATCTCAAACACATAGCAAAGAAAACACATCAAACTGGCCTGAATACTTACCCAAAATACCGAAAATAGTACGAAAGCAAAATCGCTTCGCGCGTTCGCTAGTAGTGGGCCCCACCGGCTCCGCCTAACTCACCGCTATCTAAAATAGAAGATTTTATCACAAACGGCCACTAACATGCCCAAAACAAGCAAACGGCAAAACAACACGCGCGCACGTAAATATGACGGACGGAAACGGAGACGGCCGTTAGCGGAAACGGCAGATTTGACACTCGTTTCTAGTTTACTCATAAGTTGAGCTACGAATATCGGATTAAGGCGTATGAGATGCCAAATCGAAGCTTAAAGGATGAACAACAACTGTTATGAAGACATCCAGAACTGAAACTGGAGGCTTTAGTCCCAAATGAACCAAACACAATCACTTACGAAATCTGGCTAATGCACAAATGGTCAGTTTTGAGTGCAAACTTTTTTCTATGCTACACATGGTCAAAAGAGCTAAAAATTGGTAGTTAGATAGTTCATTCCAAATGGAACAACTTTCATGAAGGTCGGCAATCCAAATTCGGAACGGAAATTGGTCATCAGGACCAAAACAGATTTCTGGTCATTTTCACGGGCAGGCCTTGTTTGCTCGGCTATATCTCAGGTTTTATAAATCCGATTCATGAAATTCCAAGGGCGTTAGAAAGCTATGATATAGGGCTATAAGTTTGGTGTTTTGGTTGGAAGCCCAAACAGCTTGTAACTCAGTCAAATGTGAAGCCAAAGTTCCAGCCATAAACTTTCCAAAAACGTACTAGAATCACAAACCGTATTTGACCTCAATATGCGGTAATGGCACCAAATTCACTACGGTTATCGGATGGGGGTGTAAGACCCATCGTTTCGAAGCTAAGAAACAGGAGTACAACAATGTAGAAGGCCACTCAGTCCAAATCCTAGCAAAACTAGGTCAAATATGCAAAATACAAATCCAGAATTACCAAAACAGGTTCGCAAATCACATAAAACTGTAATGACTATAACTTAGTCTATACAAGTCCAAATGCCAAAATTCCAAAGGCATATGGTAGCTAAGACATCCAGCTACATTTCATCAGAAGACACCAACAATAAAATCCAAACCAATTCCAGTCAAAATGGCCAATTACAAGTGCAGTTTTCGCATTCTGATCAACCCAGAACAGCAACAGTAAAATCGACATATCTCACTCTACACTAGTCCAAATGACCTGAAATTTTGTAGGCACTTCAAAATCATCAATACCTACAACTTTCATGTTTTAAGCAAAGGCCAATTCGGCATCTAACATGGTGCAATAAATTCGGGCAGAATGTAGCTTCATGAACCCTAACTTTCCAAAATTTATTCCAAATCCAAAATTGGTTGCAAATATCAATCATTTCCATCCACTAGAGTCATAACCCCTCATTATCAATCATCATAAACAACCACAACACCATAATCCAATTAAACCAGAAAAATCTTCAATAAAATCAAAACTTCACCAAATCACTTCAAACCAAGATAAAACCAGAAATTTCAGCACTTTAATCACTACTAATCATATCTTAAGCATCAATAGGTGTAGGTGGAAGTTTAAGCTTCACTTACCAAGTAAACAAGAGAGGGGAAGATGTTGGACACCTTAGCTCTTCCAAAAAACTTCACTAAAACACTCACTAGCACCAAATGGAGGAATTTGATGGAGTAGAAACTAGCTTAAGCACTTGAGTTGGATGATTTGAGCTTGTTGGAAGCTAAAATGGTGAAGAGCTCTCTTCCTTTCTTCCTTAAGGTTGGTCGGCCAAAGAAGAGAAAGAAATGGTGATTTTTTGGCCAATTTTTGAAGATATTTACTCAAATGGGTCAAAAGTAAAAAACATGAATAGTGTTCCATAAAGTCCACCCAATAATATTGTGACACTTGGCACCTCTTTAAATGCATTTCTATCCTTTGGTCACCTCTCACATCAATCACTTCACCTCCTCTACTTATCTCTTAACACCCGATAAATTTTACACAGTATCCGAAACTTAACCTTATTGGCCGAATTTTTCCGAACTTTTCGCACTAGTGGGTCCCACATCCGTTATTGATCCTTAATTTCTCAAAATCTAACCAATACTAGAAAAATCATCTAAAAACTATATTTACTCATAAAAATTATCTGGGAAATTTTCTAATAAAGAAAATGTAGAAAAAACGGGTTTTCAATCTTAACCGGAACTTAGGGTTTAAATCTTAATCCCTACTTAGGGTTTTCGAAATACTCCCAAAACCAAACGTTACCGCCCAATTAATGAATATATCAACGTATAACGAACTGGGGCCTCACAAAAAGTACCTGCTCATACTATTACATCCTTATAATTATAACCAAAACCAAAGAGTAGACCCTAAGGAGGGTCCTTATACAAACCACCACAACAAAAACAAACATCCTAATTGTCCAACTATTACAAGCAAACCTAACTATGCTAGTGTATGTGCCAAAAGTCCCCGCGTCGGCCCCTGCTAAGGAAAACAAAAGGAAAGGGGTAAGCTATATGCTTAGTAAGTAAACAGGGGCAAAAGCATAAATTTCACGTAACAACAGTTACACAGTAAGAGTAAAGTAAAAGCAGAAAAGTAACATCACATAATAAGGATACAGGTGGCTCCAAAGCCAGATCGTTTGCCATGCGTGACCTCCTGCCGACACTCCGTCGACCACAAATAATGGTCCGTAGAACTTCACTTGTACTCCCACCGTACACCTTATCACCCTCTCTGGCTAGACACCTCACAAACTTGCTCGAGCGAATGAAATTGAGCTTGGTTCACAAGCTCGGGTCACAAACTTGGTCCACATAATCGGTGAACCAGATTCACAAACATGGTGACCTCAAACCAGGTTGGACTGACTTCGACCAAGCCCTAACCGGCTTGAATAGTCCATCTAGGCCATGAGATCGGGCCCTAAACTCACAAACTTCACAAAATTTACTCAAAAGTCACCCCGAGCCACAAGCTCAAGGGGTTTAATTCCAAAATGATTCATATACATATACCATGTACAAATATGTGTGTAAATTAGGGTTTAGGTCGAGTGCGATAAAGTACACCCTCGCCTAGGTACCCTTTTCATACATATTGAAACACATAAGCAACTAACACATAAGAGCGGCCTGAATACTTACTCAACGAACAAAAGAATAAAAGTTCGAAATTTGTGCCGCGAGGAGTAGCTAGTAGGCCCCACCGACTCCACCTACCTCACCACCGTCTGAAATAGAAGATTGCGTCACATAACATCATAAACGGCTACTAAAATGCTTAAAACAAGCAAAACGGCAAAATCGGCACATACGAGTGTGGAAACGGCATACGGAAACGGGAATGGTAACCTAATCGCTTTGCCGTCAAAACTGTTTTGAGTCTAATCGAAGCTACGAGTGTTAGATTAAGGTACATGAGGTACCGTTGCGAAGCTAAGAGGAAGGGTTACAGTTTTCATGAAGACACCTC